GGAAAAGTTTAGTTTGTTTTAGTGTTGTTTTGGTTTGTTTGGTTTGGTTTGGTTTGGTTTGGATTGTTTTTATTTGTTTTCATTCTTTTTTTTGTTTTTGTGTGTGTGTGTGTGTGTGCATAATTTCACTTATTGCGGTAAATAACAAGAATTGTCATGCCTAATATAAATACAAATCAATATCTGTCAGTTCTCTCACTTTTAACAACACCAACACTCAAGTGAGTAACCGATCCCCATTTGTGTATTGGAGTAACAACAGATGGCTTCACGCGGACTCTGTCTCCAACTACAATGTCAAACGGAGGCCTCTTTGCGGACAAATCTGAAACTAAAAGTACGAGATTACATTAAACCATTTTTCTTCACTCACAACAAAAATATAACTTTTTTTATTTTAAAAACAAACAAGCAAGCCCTGTCCAGATTTAAAAAGTAACGCAAAAGTAACGTAAAGCATTACTTTCCATAAAAAGTAACTAAGTAACGTAATTAGTTACTTTTTTATGGAGTAACGCAATATTGTAATGCATTATTTTTAAAAGTAACTTTCCCCAACACCACTCACAAATAAGATTAGATGCAAGAAGTCATTAAATGGTAATCATTGTTACTTTACCTTTATTAACTGTTTTACTTATCTCCTGCGTGCAAGTAGTCTCAAGTCTCCCAGTAAGTTCACATATAAGTTTTCTTACGTCCTCAAAAGAGCAGTATGGCTGAAATGAGAAACTCTGCAACTCATCAGATCCAGATGAAGAGGACACAGTCTCATAATTCTGAGGGGGAAAATATTCAAGGACTAAGTAATATAACTTTCAGATGAACTGGCAATATTTGAACAGTCTGTTATGTCTTATAATTTTTGCTTCTAATATATAATCATATTACTTATAGTGCTTGTACCTGAAGAAATTGGATGTTGTCTTCTGTCTGTAGAAGATCCTCTAGAACTCCTTCCCTCTTCTTCAGCTCAGTAATTTCCCCCTCCAGTTTCTTTTGTAGCTTTGTGCCGTGATCCAGATCAGCCTTTTCTTGAGCTTTTATTTCTTCAATCACCTCATTGGTTTTTTTCTCAATAAGTTTGACTAATTCACTGAAGACTTTCTTACTGTTCTCCACTGCCTTCTTTGCAGAATCCTGAGGAGAACCAAAGCAAAACAAAAATGTTGTTTACAATTACAAGATCCAACATGGCAGTGATTAACCTTGTGTCAGTTGATAAATGCAGAGTTGTTCTGTATAACTGTGAAAGTTATTTGTTTTACATCAGAACTTACTGAATGGGATGTGATGTCCATTTTCATCTTCTGCAGCTCTTTTTCTTTTGCCTGGATTGTCTGCTTGACGTTTGTCTGAGAGTGTGTAAGTTTTATCTAAGGACAAAATAACAAGTCACAGTCTTGTGAATGTTTTTCAAAAAACATTTGTCAATAGCATTTTTTAACTACTTTATGTTACGAGAAGGACTGTCAAAGTTAATGCGTTATGCAATGCGATTAATAAAGCAACTTATGTGGTTAATTCAAAATATCCTTAAAGGGTTAGATCACCCAAAAATGAAAATTCTGTCATTAATTACTCACCCTCATGTTGTTTCAAACCCGTAAGACCTTCGTTCATCTTCGGAACACAAATTAAGAGATGGAATCTGAGAGCTGTCTGAGCATGCATAGACAGCAACGCAACTGAAATGTTCCCAAGTCCAGAGATGCAGCAAGGAGATCTGTAAAATAATCCATGTGACATCAGGGTTTCAACCATAATTTTACGAAGCTACGAGAATACTTTTTGTGCGCAAAAGAAAAAAAAACGACTTGATTCAACAGTTCGTCTCCTCCGCATCACCCTGTAGCGCCATTTTGGAGCGGAGGAGACGAATTGTTAAATAAAGTCGTTATTTTTTTTTCTTTTGCGCACAAAAATTATTCTTGTAGCTTCGTAAAATTACGGTTGAACCCCTGATGTCACATGGATTATTTTACAGACTTTGGGAACATTTCAGTTGTGTTGCGGTCTATGCAGGGTCAGACAGCTCTCAGATTCCATCAAAAATATCTTCATTTGTGTTCCAAAGATGAATGAAGGTCTTACGGGTTTGAAATGACATGAGGGCGAGTAATTAATGACAGAATTTTCATTTTTGGGTGAACTATCCCTTTAACGCGTTAAAATAATTAAATGCAAATAACTTACTGAAGCACATAAAGTTACATCACACTCTGTGTGAAATACAGACAGAAGCGAACGAACGTCAAAACATCCCACCGCTGTATGGCCAAATGATACGCAAACTTCTCGGCTGGATAAAGCAAACCAGCATCACACTAGTAAAGTTTTGCAGAATGAGGATTGGAATCAAGGTAAGGATGATTGCGATGACGTACCGGGTGCTGTATAGTAAGCATGTATGTGCGGTCTGGACAGACATAGTATTTATGCACAAACACATTTGAGTACATTCACATTTGTTCCACACACATTCAGAATTATGTTTTGATTCGTCATGTGTATGTTGCTGTGTTTAGTCATTCTGAATAGATCCGTGTACTATAGTAGGTATATTTAGTCAGGTCAAGTCGGTTCATTTGCTTTTGTTTTTTTTGTTGTTGCTTTTTTGGCATCTCCATGTGGTCCTATTCAGAATCGCAATTGGACTCGTCCAAAATGTGAATAAGCTCTTTGCTGTTGCACTGTACGCATGGCCTACTATACACTGTAAATTTTTTATAATTTTTTTTCTATGTGTGCTTTGGTATGCATTAATTTATGAATTAGAGGCCTTCTTATATCACTTGATTATTTGGTGTCCTTTTTTGTAGACACCTAAATTTACTTTGAAAAAATCTTACTGAAAATACATTTTTGTGTGAATCAACCTTAAATCTGATGGCTTACTTTGCTGGATATAAGAAATTATGACAAAATGAATGTGCTAAACAACTGGCCTATGCTTATTTTCTTGAAAAGAGTGCAATTAATCTTGATTAATATTTTTAAGCCAGGGGTCAAATCAGGGGTCAGGGGACCAATCTTGGTCCTTGGGGGCTGGTGTCCTGCAGAGTTTAGCTCCAACCCTAATCAAACAACCTAAACTAGCTAATAAAGGTCTTGCTAGGTATACTTGAAACTTCCAGGCAGGTGTGTTGAGGCAAGTTGGAGCTAGTCTGCAGAACACCGGCCCTCCAAGACCGAGTCTTGGTGACCCCTATTTTAAACTATTGACAGCACTTATGAGCCATTAAAGAAAACGAAAAAAGATGGACATCTTCACCTGTTTCTCATTGTGCTCTATTGTAGATGGTACTGTGTCATGGCCCTTGTGGTCATCCAATAAGCAGTGCATGCAGACACATTTCTGGTCCGTTCGACAGTAAACCTCAAGGAGCTTGTCGTGTTTGGGGCATACTGGAATGACCGCAGCTTTCACCAGCTTGTGTTTCTTCAGGGCAGGAACATTATAGTGGGGCTGTACATGTGTTTCACAGTAAGAGGCTCGACACTCCAGACAAGACTTGACAGCTTTGATCATTTCTCCAGAACAGAAATCACACGCAATCTCTCCAGGTCCAGCAAGACTTTGAGCAGACTCTGTACTCCTCAGTTTCTCCATTATTTCAGCAAGCACTGTACTTCTGTTGAGTTGAGGCTTTGAATTGAAAGTATGTCTGCATTGTGGACATCTATACTTCCCTTTCTGATCATTTGTATTCCAGCACTCATTGATACAGCTCATGCAGTAACTATGTCCGCACGGAATAGTCACGGGATCCCTCAACAACTCCAAACATATTGAGCAGCTGTACTGGTCGTGATCTCCGAGTATAGCCTCTGCCATTTCGCTGCCAACACGTGCTAAGACACTAAAAAAGATTTGTCCTGATCTTGTCGTTCCACAAAAGGGTGTTTATCCAAAGACCCGCTCTTGTTAGAAAAGCTATGCGTTGTGTAATCTAAAGAGAGAGAGAGAAAGTGAAAGTAAAGTATTGGTCTAACACTATTATTCAAAGCTAATAATAATAGGCTAATAATAATTCTGAAATATACAAACAACACAGAAATACAGTTTAAATACAGAACTGAAGAAAATTTTTTTTATTTACCTGATGACAATTCGTTGTGTGCGTCATAACGAGGTGGCAGGAAACGTCCGCGGAATTTTGACCTTTGATCTTTTCATGGCTTGAATTGTTTGTTCAAAGTACATGCTCGTCGTATTTTAATTGTGTATCAAATACTGAGGAACAGTTTATGTGCACACATAAAAATGAAGAAAGAAAAACACCTAGTGCAGTTAAAAGCATAAACTAAGATTCGGGACTAATGAGTAAACGCGAAGATCTGAGCGCGTGCCCTTTTTCAGTAGTGTCTTTTAGTATAGCCACTAGATGGAGGCACTGAATAGAGTACAATGAATCTTGATTTCGTTATCATGTGACAATGAACATTCTTCCTCTTTCAGAGTATATAACAGATTTTTAGTGTCAAATAATCAGATACATTAAATGCGTGTAGATTCACTGACAACCTCATTAAGTCTTAGCATTAATCTGGAGATGAATTCTCTCCCACCATGATTTAATGTTTTCTAGGTAGGTCTAAATGAGAAATGTAAGTGAATGTCATTTCATTTGAGTGGCCTGTACGATTGCGTGTTTTCAGCAAAATGGAGCCCAGGGTACACCTCAGTTTAGGATCAGAGGAGAAACAAAAATTCCCCAAACTGGTGAAAAAAGTCCAACTGATAGGACTTGAACCCATTTTAAGGCAGAAGTACCAACTCCACAGTATTATAGCAAAATGAAACTCCCAACTCACATCCTCAGAAAACTTTGAATTTTGTATTTTTCCAGAATTCAAATTCCCAATTTATTTACACTATAATCTTAAGTTTATTTGAAAAAAGCATTTACTACACTCCTACTGCTGTCCATTTAACACAGCTGAACTGTAAAAGTGAGTGCTAAAATGTGTGGTCAAAAATAATATTATCAAAACTTACTATAATCTAATCTGATATTCTTGAAATTGTTCAAAATGACAAAGGACAGTTACATAAAAAATGTCAGAAAATTTCCAGCTTTTTTCCAACACAAAATAATATGCCTACAATTTTGTTTTTCTTTAACAAAATATTTTAATGATTTATTTTATTTTTTTTACGTTAGTTTGTATCTCTTCCAACATCACCTCCTGCTTCTCAAATGTCTGTACACCACAGCATACAGAAAACATTTAACGATTCGAATTAACAGATTCAATTTAATTAACATACTGTGCTCATATTAGCTACATGACATAAAAAGTAAACAGTCATAAATGTAAAAATGCTCCAGAAAATTACCGTGCAAACACAGCCACTTAATAACAACGTTAATATCTGACACTGCCATCAGTATAACTCACTTTGAATAAAATGTGAATCTTTCAAATATGAATGATTTTCTGAATGTTATCTATATCCATTAAACTCTTCTTTGGGCAGTGGGAATGGCTGAGAAATTGGACCGCTAAATAACTCTTATGCTGTGTAGCTACTTTGAGAAATTATAAATTCGTGCGTGTCCATTTGATTTTTAAGATGCCTCCAAAACAAGATGTGCATTGTTGAAGTTGGGGCCCAGGGTAGAATCACAGACGCTTTTGTTCGGGGCTCCCCGTTCCTGCGAAGGCCTGCTGTCGATCAAGAAGCAAGCGTCCGCCCCCATCGGCCCTTTCACTCACTGCTGCAGCTGGCTGCTTACCGTCTGCTCTCTGCAATCTGTGCTGGAGAGGCCAAAGGAGCTACAGCTTCAGTATTAAACCCGGCCTGCAGACGCTTATGACGCTCGCCACCAAAGAACACAAATAACACGAGGTAAGCCTAAGCGTACTGGCATGTGCGATTTAAATACAATCTATATTATTATGTAGTCGCACCGCTTAAAATGGTCTCGATCCGCGATGGTTAAATCGCAGCGCGGTCGATTTCGAAAAGCGGCATGTTTGCGGAAGTGACCGTGCGGTCCATGTTTAGCCGCCCATGTTATTTGCCTTTACTTGTCATGTGTGTGTTTCCAAAATATATTTCACTCTCGCGTGCATTTTGTCGACACGGTAAGCGTTCGGAAAAGTTGAAGATGCTGTTTGGGCTGGCGAAGTTGACTAGCCAGCGGACCCCTTTGAAAAATCAAAATGGCTTCCATCTTTGTCGTCTCAGCAGAGAGGTTTATACCTTTGTTTCCCCGTCTCGCATGTCAGGGAGTCTGTGAGTAACCTCCTTTTTATATTTATCTAGTGGATTATTGTCCATCGAACCTTCGAATGTAGAGTTTGGGTGTTTATTTCACTGGTTTTTATTTATTTTGTTACTTACCCAGTGGCGCACTTTTTGACCACGTCAGTGCGGTGGGGGAGGGGAAGTGAGTCTGTCTGGGTGGAGCCTGTATGATACGTTCACTGTGGATGAATTATCTTCGCTGTAAGTTTGATTTAGTTTAGACTCCAGCTACTGGAAGAATTTTTACTGATTTTTTTTTTCTTCATTCATTTATTTTGATTAGTTCTGTGCCACCACTTGCAATGTAGAATTCCAGTTTCCTCAAATTCAAACTGTTATACCTAAGAGCGCATGGAGATCTTCTGAAAATCTTTCTCGATAGAGTGCTGCAGGAATGACGTATTTTTGTAGACCGTTCTAGAAGTTGGCATCATTCTGCTTCTCTTGAGAAAAGCAAAAAAAAAAAGCAAAAAGGATTTTCCCACTGACTTCTGGATAATTGCAACAAAAAAAAAGCAATGTGAACAATGAAAGTTTATGATTCTCATAGGTTTTGCTCATTATTATAATCTTTAATAATAATCACAGATGAACAACTTTGATGCCTAAATCTTCAATCAGCTGAAATAAAAAGCTATATAAACAAACTACACCACGGCTGCAGGACTTCACTGTCACCACCACTGAGTTTTTGCCAAATCTTGTAATCTTTAAAGGCAACAATTTGGAAAGTTAGAATATTTTGTAAAAGCATGAGCATAAACACAACAAGGCTGTAAAAGTAGACTTGTGAGTAGATATTCGCCTTAATGCTGTTTAATGTCCCCGACAGCCCCTGAAGTTCCATTTAGAGCTTTTTCAAGATACAAAAAAATTATGAGTGGGATTTTATGTTGCAGAATACAACGTGAAACATATTGAGCTTCTGTTAACCACAGACTTTATTTCAGGTATTTAATCAAAAACCCACTGACTTCGGGACGATGGAACCCGAGGTTCAAAAATCCTTACTCGTTTCCCGGTTTTAGGACTAATTTCTTGCGGCACTCTATTATTAACTGAATGCAGTGCTGGTGTACGAAATGTTGGTTGTAGTTTTAGTTGCAGCGGATGTGTGTCAGCTTGCACTCTGGTCTCTTTTTCAACAGTGCTGGGATGTCACCCATGCTTCAGGTAGGCACACCACCATGCCCTTAATATCTGGTTAACAGTGTGGTTATGGGTTTAAAGTTCTTGTGTGTGATCTTGGTTAACTGTCAAGCAAATCATCTCCATTATGTTAAGTCATCCCTCTTAACATAATGACTTTGCAATACATGTGGTGGTTTTTTGTGTGCTTGCACTCAATGGATTTGTTGGTTTGCTTGTTTTGCATAGAGTTTGATGTGTAAAATGTAACTCATTACCATTGTTTAGCTATCGTCTTATGTCTTCCCCACCTTTCACCTACCCACCAGTATATGTAGCCGATCAGAGGTCCCTGTGTCCCCTCCCTACTCCTCCCAACATATATACATACATACACATTACACACACACACACAGTCACATACACGCTCACAAACACTCAGTCGGTCAAGAGCTAGTGTGATGACAGATAATGTGCTTTGTCATGCTGGTTGGTGTCATGTGTTTTTCCTATACTGGATGCATGTTTGTTACTTTTAGGCTCCCGTAACCCTGGTTGGCTGGCCACGGAGACAGGGAGTCCTCGTCTCAGTACTGTGGCTCTCCACATTAGACTTTCTGTTTGGGGTATCTACTTTCACCTCCATTTTTATCTATATTCAAAGGCTTGAAGCACAATTCCAACATTTTATTAGCTAAATCAGTCATTTGATATAGTGTGAGTTAATGTAGATTACTTTAATAATCGTCAAATTCCCATCATGTGCAAAGATCTACATTTAAAATGCATTTATGCATACTTTAGGTGGTTGTGGATTGACCATGGATGTAAGATGTGATCTTTGGCCTCAAAAAATATTCTGATGTTCTGAAGCGTAGGAGTTTATTGTTCCTGCTGAAATAATTTTCAATTAGACTAAAGCATTTTTTGATCCATAGTCAATCATATTAGACTATTACCAAGGTCCATTATAGTATTTAAAATGTCACAGTAATCATCATAGTTAATTATCCATTTTATTTTTAAATATATACATACTGTAGACATTCATGGCACACGTTTTTATACTGTTTAAATGTTCTAAAAGAATAATTTAACTCTGGATTTGTTGTTTGTATGTTTTTGTTAGGCTGAAAGCACTGAAATGTACTTTTATAGAATGATTTTCCTTAAATGTATTCTTTGTCATTGACATTTCTATTGGTTTTATATTCTAGTTCCAAAGTCGCAACAATTATCATATTTTAAAAAATGTAAATAAATTTTTTACGGATCTAAGAAACAGGGTCAGGATTGACTTTGACTTTGAACAGAATTGGATGAATGTGAACTGACCATCGCTATGCCTTTTTTCTTTTCTGTAGGCTAAACATGTTCTCCAAGGGCACCAAGCGTAAGTTTTCCGATGGTGATGAAGAGATATCCGACGAAAGCCTGGTAGGTGCCAGGGTGGCATCTTCGTACAACTTGCAACGGCAGTCGTTGCTGGACATGTCCCTCATTAAGCTGCAGTTATGCCACATGCTGGTGGAGCCCAACCTCTGCCGCTCGGTTCTCATTGCCAACACAGTCAGGCAGATTCAGGAGGAGATGACCCACGATGGCAGCTGGCATATGGTCACTGAAGCGTTCTGCGGTCCAGGCCAGAGTCCCTCCGAGCGCTTGGTGGCCACTGAGGTCCTTTGCAGGTCGCGAGAGCAGGATGCAGAACCTAAACTCTTTTCTGTCATCAGCTACGAAGGTTGCCGTGAAGAGGAGGTGGTAGCTGATGAGACGCTGTGCTCCGTTTCAGTTAGCGATACTGTCTCTAATGTGTGCCTGGCAGGGCGTGTGGGCCAGTGCTGGGAGAAGAGTGAGCTCAGTGGTGTAGAGAGGGATGAAGAGGCCCTTGAAGACTCTAGACTTGGTTCAGGAGAAGATGAGGAGATAGACACCGAGGATGGGGCTTCTACAGAGAGTCCAAAGACCACTGGACAAGTTTTTGGGACATTTGAAATAAAAAACGGTTCCCCGGGTCCAGACTCTGCTCTTGAGGAACTGTTCTCTGATGTGGACACCTCCTACTATGATCTGGACACCATGTTGACCGGCATGCAGAGCGCACCCAAGATGGGCCCTTATGACCTCCTTGACAGCTTGGCACCTTCACACGGTTCCCCTTCCATAGTATCCACCCCGACCTGTCGTTCTGATCTCAATGAACTGGATCACATCATGGAAATCATTGTGGGTTCTTAGGTTCGATCTTATTCAGAGACTTACATGCTTGTCTTAATGTTACTGGCTTTTCTGTTCTTTATGGAAAGCAAGTAAAGTCTGGAGTCCTTTCAGGGAAAAGAGTTGATGTCTTTTGAAGGATGGCCTTGATTTTATGAGCTGACCATAGTCTTCTTATTTGCATACCCTTGGTATGTTTTAATGATTTTTCTGTATTTGTCTGTCCAGACATGCTGTTTTTTAAATTTAATTTATTTGTTATACTCCTGACACTACGGAGAGCAGAACAAGATGTATACAAAAGTTGTAAAGCTTGAGATATTTTCATAAGGAGACAAAAGATTGTCTAAATGTGTATATAAATTATATATTTTTTACAATAGATTCTTCTTGTAATATGTTACTGTACACTATGTACATGTTCTACAAATTGATATTAACCGAAGAGATTAGATTCTTATGTGCAACAACTCAACAAGTTTTCCGTTTATCAAAATCCATAAACTGAAGGAACTTAATTCAGTACTACAATATACATAAGGCACCAAGTATACATACGATGATGCATGTTTTACATTTATGTGCTTATTTGCACAAAGTATTTTTTTTTCCTCTCAAGGTTTGATTGCAGTTGGCTGACAATCAGCTCAGCCGTAGGTTTTTTTTGTTGTTAGACGTCAAATTTCTTATATTTTGTCTTATCAACAAATGAAGTATAATGGGGCCAACCCATTTTTTATTGTGACTTAATTTATTTAATTTATTTACTGCAAACGGTGAGTGTTGGCTGTGGTCAAACTCAGGGTGGGTTTTTAACTCTAGAGGACTTAATAGGCCTGATTCACAAAAGTCTTTTGCACATAGTAAATCGGTCACAGAATTAGTGCTTTGTGAGTTGTTTTGCACCAATTATTGGTTTCAGTATTGATATTAAATAAGTTAACTGTTTTAATATTGGTGAATGGCTTAAGTATATCAGTCTATTAGTCCTCTAGACCCCTCATAACGAGAAGGCATTTGTCTAGTTCTATGCATTTAGTGTCATAACACACTTTATACATATGAAGTGTTTAAAATGCATTTAGTACAGTATTCTTTTTTTTTTATACTTAAGAATCAGTCAACAAGAGACCGTTTTATTTTGCTCAACATTTTCCCCAGTTATTACATATATATATTATTTGGTTTTGTCTAAATTTTTGCATAAACTATGTTTGTGCAAATTATAGGTTATTACACTTTGATAATTGTTTTCTTCTACATTGTCTCACACTTAAAATCTAAGAGGATGTTGTTTATTGTATGATCTTAAACTAGTATAGAGTATAAACATTTTATATGAGCATTGTAGCTTTTTTAACGTTTTTTAATAAAAGGTACAACTTATGAAAATGCTGTGGGGTTTTTTTTACTCCTGCAATCAACTATTAGAGAGATCAGCGGTCATCAAACTTGGTCATCAATCTCTATAAATGCTCATGCCGTGTTGTTTCCATTTAGTGAAAAATTGATACAGAAAGAAAACCAATTAATTATTAATAATGCCAGGGAAACACATGCGCAAAACTCAAAATGTTACCAGCGAGTAAACGTACAGTAAGACCTCCATTCCTTAAATCAACGGCAAGGTTTCATTCTGCACGTAGCGATTTCTAACGCAAGTGACGTCAGCAGATGTGACTCAAATGAACGTCAATGTTGAATTCCCTCCGCGCGCGCAGATATTATTAGATGTGTCAGAAAATATTGTATTATACAAGCTACATAATTGTGAGGTTTTATTACCTACTATATCAGACTCGACTAAAAATCTGCTTTGAAAAGCTTCGTTTAGAGAAATTCTACTGTAAATCTAACTGTTAGCGTCTGTAGTATTCAGATGCTTGTTAAGTTTTCTTAAAATAGACACGGGATGCTTGGCAAAAAGGAAATGGAAAGCCACAAACGTGCCATTTACAACGCAGTTTGTGCCGTAGTCCGGTAGCCGTTTGAACAAACGGCCACGTTTTCGGTCTGTGGGCATGTTAGGGGGACGAATGTGATAGACTAGAGAGGAGGGGCAGAAGACGCGTTCCACCAATCAAGGGCAGTTACTAGGCGGGTCTGAGATCGCGTTCGACCAATCACAGCCTTCCCACCTGACGACCGTCAATCAGCTGAGTTCTTTTCCCGTTGATTCTGCAGTGTAGCGAGAGTTCTTTTCTCGTGCCTGGGTAGAGACGCGATCGGTCGCGTAGTTTTGCGCAAAATAATGTTCAGAATTTGGACCAGAAGCTCAACGCGAAGTTCGGCGACCGATTTAAACAACCGTACATCTTATTTCTATCAGTCAAGAGGATGTAGCGGTCATTCGAGGATCTTCGGTAAATTAATTTCGTAGTTCCATATAGACAGAGCCAGCACTTTACCAAGTAAGTTACGAACTAGCTAACTGGCTAATTCATTGCGCATCCCTGTGAGCTTAGCCGCGGAGGCTAGCGGTGCGCACGTCTGCGAGAGTAGTTGGTTGTAATAAACGCTAAACAACGAAGCAACTGGTTGAGCCAAACATAATGGTATGGGTCAAAGGGACATCACAGCGTTCGAGGCGTCCATGAAAAGAAAAAACGGAATTCCCACTGTCTCTATGTGTCGACTGGATGTGGAGTCCGCTGTTGGGAAGAAGGAAGTTGAGCCCGCCGGAGGAGATGGTGCCCTTTCCTCGTCAAGGTAACATTAACGACTTTTAGTCACAAACTGTTTTCTGGGTGTCATTTGAGCCCGGTAGAAGACCTTTTAGGTATCATTCTGTTTTGGGAAATTGTTTTATATATTAACACTGTTCAGCACTGTCCCGCTTTACGTAACAACTAGAGTTTATGTTGACGATACTTGAGCTTGTGTAGCTGTTACTCCGTCCACACTAGTTTATTTACAACTGGAGCAGTCCTAGCAAAAAGAATGTATACTAGTTTTTATATCTGGACCATTGTGTGTGAGCCTATAAACACAGTAACTTTGGTACCTCGCGTTTTCTTCTGTACGTGGTCTCGGTTGCGTAACGTTGTCCATTTTGCCAAAATTATGTTTGGACCCGACTAATGGCGCTTTTCCACTGCGTGGTACGACTCGGCTCGGCACGGCTCGGTTTGCGTTTCCACTGCAGTTCAGTACCGCTTGTGAAAACCCCCCAAAAAGTGACCCGTCCGGAGCCGTACCGTGCCGTACCATGCAGTGGAAAAGCGCCATAACATTCACTCGTAATATGTGACTGAACGGTTTTCTAGCAAACCTGTTATTAAAGAATAAAATAGTATGTTGTTGCGATATTTCAGTCGTGTTTTCGCAAACATGTCTAACTAAAGCAATAGTGAAAGCCAAGAGTGCATGAATGCAGGTTTCAGTTTTACTAAAGTTTCATAATTCGAATGAATGTGTAATTTTACATGAATCTTTATGAGTATGTGTTTCATAGTATGTGTCTTTATACGCGAAAAACTCGAGGAGTGATTTAAAGTTACTTCAGTTTCAGCTGCCTTTCAGAAAGCGAAAGCCATAGTTTTTATTGAAAGCAGCTGTGGAGTTTAAAGGGGTCCGGCGTTATGCAAATTTTCCCAGATCGTGACGTAGGTATGTGGGGGCGTGTTAGAACGAGCCGTTTTAGGTAGGCTTGGCTGACTCTGAACTTTTATAAAGAATATCTCTTTGGATTTGAGACTTTAGTCTTTGCAACTTTACAGATCTTCTTTATGCACCAAGATCTTGTAACACTCCAAAGAGAAAGGAAAAATTGAAATCGCGTCATATGACCCCTTTAAAAAATGCTACATACATGGTGAGTTTAAGCGTAGTATGGTCACTTCTGGGTATTTTTTGGATAATTCACTTGAACCATAACAAGTATCACCTTAAGGTTTTTAAAGAAATGTACAGGTTTGTAATATTTATTTGACTTCTGCAGATGATAACTGTCGGTTTCTGCAGTAAGCAGAAAGTCAGTAGTGCCTAAACTAGGTTCTGCTCTCTCATGGCTGTCAAACAGTCAGTTAACTTCTTGCATAAAGGTTAACAGTTGTTTTTTGCATTTTTTTTCTTGAATGGCTTATTAGAAGTGTGTAATTGAATGTAAAGCAGGGTTGTCAACAACTTGCGCCTCAGTCATGTATTACTTGCTAATTATTTTTTAGTAGGCAAGTATTCAGGTTAAATGAATAAAATCCATCTGAATCTTATACTAGACTGAGGTTTCACCACTGACTCAAAGACTTACACCACTGATAAGACAAGCAGGCATCATATGAGCGTGTGTTCACGTCTCTCAGCGTGACTAACACGCTGAGTCACTTCGTCAGTCTGTTGGAGCCGCCCAGTTACAAAGCTGCCCAAACTAAGACATCCGGCCTGTCTTCCCAGTGGTTCATTATTCAAGACTTAGTCGGCTTGTCAATGGCATTTGCCACCTACTCCCTCCCTCCTACTCGCAGTCAATCCCCTGTGCTCTTTCTTACACTCCTCAACTCAATCTCTCGTTCTCCTCCCACTTTCTCTCGCAGACTAACCTTTCTTGAAGCTCCTGCTTGCTCTAGCTTATGTACACCCTCTCTCTTTCCTGCTTTTTTTAAAGACTCTTTCCTGTTGTATTCTTTATCGTGACTGCCTCCTTTGGGGCAGTGGGAGGGAAACCGGAAGAGAAAAAGATGGAAAAATGACTCAACCACGTCAGTTCAGTTTGCTCTCGTGCAGGAAGTATCGTAGCTTAAGCCGGCCTATGAGTTGAAGCAACTCTTACCTTGTCCTCAGTGTGTGACTAAAGATCATTTCAGTGCTGTCTGTCACTTTGTGGTCTTCTATTCATTTATTTTTTTATGTACTAACCACACAGTGATGGAAATGAAGTCCTTATCTCTCTACCTTTAGTGAAACTGATGTATCTCTTTGTGTGGAGCTAGGCTGCTATTCATTTATGTGGTGCTGTGCTGCTGTAAGTGAAAGCAGCAGTATAAAGTCACTTCTCAGTTGTTCAGACTCTTATGTGTGTTGCACAGGCAGTATGAATGATAACTTGATGGTCTGTAAAACACTTAATGTCAACCCTTTTTTTTTTTTTTTTTTAATGCACCTTCATTATAGAAATGTAACAGTCTGTTATTGATACTACACTTTACACATTATTAAAAAAAAAAGAAGTTGTAATGATGATAAGATTTACTTATCAAATGTATTTAAAACTAGGGATGTCCATTTTAACCGGTTAACCGACCGTAAGAATTTTGACCGATTAATACAATCAGTTAAATGGTTTAAAAAGTCGTTTAATTTATTTTTTCAGTAATTTATCAAAATATTTAAAAAGGTTTGCTGCATGGTTAAAATACTCTACGCGTATTTTTTTAAAAAAGTGTTTTTTAGGGGGGAAAAACATAAGTCGCGCATAAGTCGCATTTTTTATTTCAGTCAGAAATGGGCCTAATGCCGACGCAAAATGTTTACAAACATTATAAACATAGGCTATTTTAGTTTCCCTCACTCCACAACAAATCCTTTCAATTAACAGTATTTAGATAAGAACAAGAATTAAAAATATAAGTAAGCTATAGCAATATAAACGACAAGCCAAAACGAATTCATTTAGGCTAAAACAAAACTGAAACCAACGTTGGGTCTTACCAAAACTCCACCAAATGTTTCGGTAGTGACAATTCTATGGGATAACACCCAAAAAAAAACAAAGATGTCATTACTAGGGATGTTAATTTTAACCGTTTAACCGGTTAACCGACCGTAAGAATTTTGACCGATTAATACAATCAGTTAAATGGTTTAAAAAGTCGTTTAATTTATTTTTTCAGTAATTTATCAAAATATTTAAAAAGGTTTGCTGCATGGTTAAAATACTCTACGCGTATTTTTAAAAAAAAGTGTTTTTTAGGGGGGAAAAACATAAGTCGCGCATAAGTCGCATTTTTTTATTTCAGTCAGAAATGGGCCTAATGCCGACGCAAAATGTTTACAAACATTATAAACATAGGCTATTTTAGTTTCCCTCACTCCACAACAAATCCTTTCAATTAACAGTATTTAGATAAGAACAAGAATTAAAAATATAAGTAAGCTATAGCAATATAAACGACAAGCCAAAACGAATTCATTTAGGCTAAAACAAAACTGAAACCAACGTTGGGTCTCTCATTCCACACAAAATCAAAGGTTTCCGTATTTGCGATGTATTTGAATGGCAAATTATTATTTATGTACTTCACTCGCGTTCCAATATCCACATAAAACAAAATGTTTTGCATAACATCATGGCGGTACTGTGATAACACTTAACGGCACAGATTTTACTACATGTTTTTTTACTACATTTTTTTTTTTTCATATGTTTGACTGACTGCATCGATTCGCTAAAGGAGGCCTTTGTTCACCCCCCGGAGCCGTGTGACACACTATTTTTTTTTTTATGCATGGGCGCTTTTTATTTATCTTCTTTTGGACTGAAGCAATGCAACACCCGCTGACTGCAATGATGGAGCTTGAAAGATCAAAGACAATTTTTAATATAACTCTGACTGGATTCGTCTGAAAGAAGAAAGTCATATACACCTAGGATGCCTCGGGGGTGAGTAAAACGCAGCCTAATTTTTGGGTGAACTAACCCTTTAACCGAGTGCGTGCATGCGGCGCCGGCGCAATCACTTGTATTTTTTCCTGCTAACAGTGGAAGAAACTAGGGCTGCCACTGACGACTATTTTTATTTCGATTATTCTATCGACTAATTTATCGAATAATCGATTAATCTAAACAATTAATTTCCCGCAAAAAAACAACTACAATTTTACTTAAGAATATTTAAATCAAAAAACACTTTTTAAAGGAGTATTTACCAGAAATATTATGTACCAGAATTTATTTAGGAGATAAATGTAAATGTGCAGTATTTCTGGGGAAAAAAAACTTTTTTTATTTTTTGTATAAAATCAATTATTTGGAGATGCTTTTGATTATTAACATTTAATGGAACCATTAAAGTGGAATCCAGAAAATAATGGAAAACAGAATTTGTAACGATAAAACTGTAAAACTAAATTAATTAGACAGGCTTTTTGATTAATAAAATTTAATTTAAAGGGGTCATATGACGGTTTCAATTTTTCCTTTCTCTTCGGAGTGTTACAAGCTCTTGGTGCATAAAGAAGATCTGTAAAGTTGCAAACTCTAAAGTCTCAAATCCAAAGAGATATTCTTTATAAAAGTTAAG